ATTGTTTACTATGCCTGCAAGTTTGTTTCTGTTTTGTAAATGAGTTCATTAGTGTTTTTTTCTTTTTCTTTTTTTAGATTCCACATATGAGTGGAATATGGTATTTTTCTTTCTCTTTCTGGTTTACTTCACTTAGAATAATGATCTCCGGGTCCAACCATGCTGCTGCAAATGGCATTATTTTATTCTTTTTATGGCTGAGTAGTATTCCACTGCATAAATATACCACAGCTTTTTTATCCAGTCATCTGTCAATGGCCATTTAGGTCAGCAACCTTTAGGTTTAATCCTGCCTTTTCAGTACAGTATTCTTGTTTGTTCACACCCCCCCCATCTTCTTTCGCGTGGTGGAAGGGCAGTCATCTCGTAGGGAGGGTAGGGGAGGACTGTAGGATTCCAGCTGCTGCTTTGGCACCTCTCGGTCAGTCCCTTGTGTAACCGTGCCCTCTTCTCTCCCAGCTAAGGGACACCATTGCCCAGCTTCTTGAGGGTTCTGTGGTGTTGCCCCTGTTCTTAGCTCTCTCCCCAGACAGTTTAGGGTAGAGTACAGCCTACTCTGGAATCATTAGTCACTCGCCCCCTTCTGTCTTCTCCTTCCAGCTTCCAAAGTTTGGTAGCTTCCCTCTCCTTCAGTGGGGTCCTGTGAGGGAGCCCGGGGAGATGGCTGCGTCTCGTCCGTCCATCTGCTGTCTTAGCCGGAGCTCACGTCTCTTGTTGGGTCCCCATCGTAATTCCTAAAGCACCGAAATCTCCAGTGCACCGAATTGGTTGCTGTTGCTGTCCAGCCCTGTCGGTGCTAACAAGGGAACTTCGAATTTCTCTTCTCCAGCCAATGTCACTGCTGCCTCCACGCCCACCCAGCTGGGGCGGTGTGACCGGTTTGAGTTCGAGTGCCGCCAGCCGAAGAAGTGTATCCCCAACTGGAGGCGCTGCGACGGCCACCGGGACTGCCAGGACGGCCAGGACGAGGCCAACTGTCGTGAGTCGTGGGCGGGGCACTGCCTCCTGGGGGGGACTTCCAGGGAGCGTGGTATCTCGTTGCCTGCGCTTTGTTTCTCGCGATAACAATACTGGTGTTACCTCCGTTTTAGAGACAGGAAGAGTACGCTTCAAAGAGGATCACCTAGTCAGTAACAGATTGGGACATTTATTCAGTATTTCTGGTACAAAATGTGGTCTTTTCATCATGCCGCATTGAGAGCTCTTAGAGGGTGGAATGCTCCAAAATGACAGAGAAATTAAATGAGGATTAGTGTAGAATTCTGCGCTTACATTAAAAGAATGAACAAAGTGGCCCTTTGGGACATTAAAATAACAGGGCAGATTGATCCAACGCTTACCAAAATAATAGTACGAACATCTGAGCCAGTAAGTAACATCTAAGCCACAGTAAGAAGAACATTAAACATAATTAACAAAGAGGAAATGAAATAGGACCTTCCTCCTGGGCGAGATTAATTCATTCATGAGTATTCTTTCAGCACGTTTCCTTAGCCTGTTTCCAATAGACCTTTACATAAGAATGTTGCTTGGTTAAGGGTCTCAGAATCGAGACGTGCTCTGTCTACAGTATTCCTCAACCCATTAATCGGACAGCCCTGTCAACAAAGGAAATGAGATGAGTGTGACATGACTCTTCTTAGAGAAGCTGGTCCCCGAAGGCCACTGCTTTCCGTTCCAAGTGCCCGTGAATCATTTGTTTAATAATCAGTTTAAGAATTTTCAGAGATTAATGACACCTTTATTCCCAGTTTCTAAATCCTATGTTTTCTTCCTTTTAAAATATATGTTTCATAAAGAAATTTCAAACACCCTCCAGTGTTACTGCTCAGCTGTTGTTTGATTATATCTTGCCACATTCTTACCAAGAGGAAGAATAATTCTGTTTGCGGATTTCCAAACAATCCCCTTCTGAGTGTAGAATCCTGTATGTTTCTTTGTAGTTTTTTATCACTATCTAAAATCGCATTTTTGTTTACTTGTTTGCTGTTTCTCTCAATAGAATGTAAGCTCTTTGAGGGTAGGTCCTGTGTTTAACACATCACCATATCTTTAGCATCTTGAGCAGTAGCTGATTCATGGTAGGTCCTCCATCAGTGTTCGGTGGATGGATGGGTGGATAGATGGATGATGAGAAGGTGAAGAGGTAGGTAGATGGAGGGATGAATTCTGTCTTAGGCTTCTGAGACTGTTCACTAGTGGTTCTCAAGCCTCTTCTAAGTATTCTAATGCAGTTTATGTAACCAAACCCTCACTTCAAGCTTCTCAAGGCAAACCAGTTTTGGCTCAGCAAATAACAGAACTACATAATACAATGATTTTCCAGGAGATGGGGGATTATGCTTTGTAAAAAAAAACTTCACAAGTGGTTTTGATATTTCCCTTCTCCCATTAAGAATGACCATATTAGAGAATTCTGCAAAAATAACTAAAGTCTGCCCCTCCATCCTAGAGACAGGCAGAGAAGTCTTAATCCTTCTTTCGTGTGGAAACTCATTAGTTGAGGGCAGTTGTTAGCGTATCTCGCTCCCACCTCCCACTCGCAATTCCCGTATCTTTCCGTCTTTAGGAGAAAAATCCCAGGGATCCTTGACCCATCCTTCTTGCCTGTTGTTGTCATGAGAACGTTATCCACTTTCTCTGCCTACATCTCAGAGTGTGGTTTTTGGAAGTGGAGGCGGTGCTTCAGATGGGAAACGGGGTCACCTGTCCCTGTTCCAGAACACAGGTGCTCAGCACCGGCCACATCTGCTGCATCACCGTGGAGCTTAGAAATACTGCAAGTGCGCAGTGTCATGCTTCTGCCTCAGAAGGTTTGGGGCAGGTCTGAGGAACCTCTGGTTTTTGAAGTCCCCCCAGAAGACTGTGAAGAACCCATTGTGCAGATTTTCTGCCCTCAAATAACCACCATGGTTCACTGGCCTCTTCAGTCATTTCTTTCAGTGTCCTTGTAGTCACTGCATGGGACATTGTGGGTATGTTTGCAGGGGGCGGGCAGCAAAAGCTAGAAGGGGCTTGCTTCTTAGTCCCAGTGGGGAAATTAAAGTTTGAACTCAGGAAACCAGGGTAGAATCCTCAGTGTAAGATCTGGGAGAATGCAGGGGTTCAAGTGTGTGTTAGTTTTCTCCGGCCAGGATGACACAGTACCGCAAACTTCGTGCCCTGAAAGAGCGCACGTTTATTTCCTTACATTTCTGTAGGTCAGAAATGTGACCCACGTCTCACTGGCTGAAACCGAGGTGAAGTCAGGGCTGCTTGCTCGTGCGGCCCCAGCGCAGAATCCGTTCCCTTTCGTTTTTCCAGCCTCCGGAGGCCTCCTTCCTCCATTTTCAAAGCTCACACCGTGCTGTCTCTCCGGTCCTTCTTTGGAATTTGCATCTTCATCTTTGACCACAGCTGGGGAAGGGTCTCTGCTTTTATGGGCCCAGGTGATCGGATTGGGTCCCTGCCTGGATGACCCATGCTAAAGTCCTAAGTCAAGGTCTCTCAGTCACATCTACAAAGTCCCTTTTGCCATGTAAGCTCATTGTCACGTGTTCCAGGGATTAGGACTTGGGCTGCTTTGTAGCGAAGACGCAAGAGCAATGTTAGGTCCTCTTCACCGGTGGGGTTGGGTTCCGATAGAACCTTCCTGTCCAGGCTGGGGCAGGCAGGTGTGGGTGCCTAGAATGAAGGCCCCAAGTGCTGACCTGGGCCTGGACCCGCCCACCTGGGGCAGCAGATTCATTTTCTGTAGCCACCTCCTCTTCTTTTTTAGGATCATTTGCAATCACATTGTCATTGCTTCCTTCTCAGAGCCCCTCATGTAGTTTAAGTCTACTTTCCGAACTGGAGAGAGCATCAGATTATAGTTTATAGCCAGTGAGTTGTGTAACTCTTAACTTACCAAGTGCTCTTTATTTGCATTTTTTCATTTTCTGTGAGATACGTTGCGGAGCTCTGCAGTTAAGGTACCACATACAGTAGACACGCCATTTACTCTTGTGATGCATCGTGTTGTCGTTTGTATCGCTCAAACCAGAAGTCAGAGTGTCTTTCTGGGCTGCAAATGCAATAACAGGAGCAGAATAACTAGGAGAAGTGGCGAGGAAGAGCTACGGTTTGTGGATGCCTGCTGTCAGCCGGGCATTACTCCAGGTGCTGGATCTCAGTGGATCCTTGGGGACACAGTAGGGATGGGATTGTCCCCCCAGTTTCATGTAGGGGACCTGTGCTTGGGCACCACAAGCACAACTCAGAGATATTGCTGGTCTGTGCCAGAGCACCACTATACAGACAATATCACGATAAAGTGAGTCAAGCAAGTTTTTGTTTGTTTGTTTCCTGGTGCATATGAAAGTTACACTCACACAAAATTGTAGTCTGTTCAGTGTGCAATAGCATTAGGTCTAAAAAGCAATCTGCAGACCTTAATTTAAAAATATTGTATTGCTTGACACATTGTAACCTGACTGTATACTTAAATGAAAAAAATATTTTATTGCTAAAAAAAATGCTAAGCATCAGCTAAGCCTTCAGCGAGTCGTAATTTTTTTGCTGTAGTAACATCCGAAGATCATTGATCACAGGTCACCATAATAAGGTAATGATAACGGAAAGGTTTGAGATAGAGTGAGAATTACCAACGTGTGACACGGAAACACAAAGTGAGCAAATGCCGGGGGAAGGATGGCACAGGCGGACTTGCTTGATGCAAACCCTTTGATTTGTAAGAAACACATTGATCCGTGAGGCGCAGTAGAAGGAGGTGTGCCCGCAGCAGACGGTTGGCTCGAGCGCTCGGAGCAGGATTCACACCCTGGTTCGTTGACTCCCAGGCTCTGGCTCTTGCTGGAGGCGTGTCCCCGTGGTTGACAGCAGACGAGGGTCTTTGGAAGCAGAAGCGGATTAGTTCGCTTTTCCTAAGCGCAATCAGCCTTTGGTGACCGTGGCCCCCCACCCGTGTGCTGTGTTGCAGCCACGCGCGGCACCCTGATCTGCACGAGCCAGGAGTTCGGGTGTGAGGACGGCGAGGCCTGCATCGTGCTGTCCGAGCGCTGCGACGGCTTCCTGGACTGTTCGGACGAGAGTGACGAGCGGGCCTGCAGCGGTGAGTGCAGCCCCCCGAGGACCTGCCCGGGGAACCCCGAGGCAGAGCCCTTTGGAGCTTTCCCTTTGTCTGAAAGTGCAAAGCTTTTGCCCACTTTCTGGAGCACCAGATGGAGTGAGGCTTGTCCTGTGTCCGCATCCCACCTCCAGCTCGCCCTGGGTCTTGTATGATTCCTTTTTTTTTTTTCAGTGGGGGGAGGTAATTAAGTTTATTTATTTTCAGAGGAGGTCTGGGGGTTGAACCCGGGACCTCATGCATGCTAGGTAAGCACTCTACCCCTTGAGCTACACCCTGCCCCCCGGGAAAGGCGGGTCTTGGACTGGTTTCGGATGGACATCCCTCAGATGAGCCCGCAGTAGCCCTGCGAGCCTCAGGCTTTGGGGTGGAGTCAGCTCCATCCTTCTGTCCGGAGTGCGTTTAGTCCCCACCTTGGGCTGCTCTAACTGAGTGGCTCACAAACGACAGGATCATATTTCTCCCAGTTTTGGAGGCTGGAAAGTCTAAGATCAAAGCAGCAGCAGATTAGGGAGAGGAGGTAGCTCAGTGGTAGAGTGCCTGCCTAGTATGCACGAGGTCCCAGGTTCAATCCCCAGCACCTCCACTTAAAAAATAAGTAAATAAATATTACCTCTTTCCTCCTCCAAAAAAAGGAGCAGCAGATTCGGTGTCTGTGAGGGCCACCTGCCTGGTTCATAGACAGCGTCTTCTTCATGTCCTCACCTGGTGCATGGGGTGAGGGAGCTCTCTGTGGTCCCTCTGACAAGGACATTAATCTGTACTGTGAGGGCTCCATCCTTCGGACCTAGTGACCTCCCACGGGCCCCACCTCCTGATACCGTCACGCTGGGGCTGAGGTTTCAGCGTGTGGATTTCGTGGACACAAACGGTCGGGCTGCAGCACTAATGGGAACCTGCTGGCGACACTGCTTGGATTTGTAGCATTCTCTGTTGGGAAACAGACTCTAATCAGTGCAGACAAGGAGGTGAAATGCAAGGGAAAATATCATGATTGGAAATTTAGGAGACCTTGGGAAAGACTGTACAGGAAGGCTTGAACTTTTTTTTTCTGGAATGTCTTAAGGTGAGGATTGTGGCCTGACCATCTCGATCATAGCAGGTCTATCTGAAGTCAAGGAACCTCTTGGGTCCTTTGAAATCCAAGGATTTGTAAGAGACCACTTTCTCTTTTTCGCCTTTCTCTCTCTGTAGATGAATTAAATGTATACAAGATACAGAATCTTCAGTGGACAGCTGACTTCTCTGGGGATGTCACTTTGACCTGGACACGGCCGAAGAAGATGCCCACTGCTTCCTGCGTGTACGTCGTCTACTACAGGTGGGTCCCGTCTTTGCCCCCGGGAGGAGAAAATGATGTTCTTATTGCCACCGGATGTTCCGTAAACTCTGTGTGTGCCCAGAGCAGCTGTTTGTTGACTGGTTCAGACAGCTCAGCCTCCCCCTGCTGCTTTGATGTGACAGTGTCTTTTTTTCTGCTGGCCAGGGTGGTTGGAGAGAGCATGTGGAAGATGCTGGAGACCCACAGCAATAAAACGAACACTGTATTGAAAGTCCTGAAGCCGGACACCACGTACCAGGTTAAAGTCCAAGTCCAGTGTCTGAGCAAGATGCACAGCACCAACGACTTTGTGACTCTGAGGACTCCAGAAGGATGTAAGTGTTTGCAGGTACACGACCTTAGGTGGGATTTTCAGAGAGTTTCCCAGGATGCTTAGGAGTGTGGGAACATAACTCCACGTGCCTCCCATGTACAGAAGTTTTGTGGCTAAGTTTTATGGTCTCGGCTGAATTGTTGAATATTTGTTCTCCTTATTATGTCACGTAATTTTTTTTATTTTCTTTTTTCAATATTCTTTTTTTGGGTGGGGATTAGATTTATTAATTTTTATTTGATGCAGTTACTGGGGATTGAACCCAGGACCTCGTGCGTGCTAGGCATGCACTCTACCACTGAACTGTACCCTCCCACCTACTCTTTTTTTTAAACACAATTTTTTTTTTTAAAATTGAAGCATAATTGGCCTACAACTATGTTAGTTCCAGGTGCACAGTATAGTGATTCGCTGTTTCTTTATACAATGATCAGACATACTGTTTTCCTACCTTAAGAAGTTAACTTCAGATTCTGCCCCCCACCGCCCTCTTTTGCATTTCTTACCTCGTTTCTGCCTCTGTCTTCTGTCTCTAAATATTTCCCGGTAGTTCGTACCTAGGAGATCATCTTCCTTAACGTATGAGGCACGTCTGAAGTATCACACATTTTAAGGAAATTTACCAAAACTCCTGTGTCGCAGAAAGTTCTCTCCTTCCTCCCCTCTTCACAGCAGTTGACAGCCAGTGACTGCTTGTTCCCATGATCTCTGCTCCCAAGGTCTGGTGAGCTTCTCATTGATAACTGGCATCAGAACCGTGTTCACAGTCGGATTTCAGTTGGAGATGTGAACGTGAACTCTTTATCTTAACGTGCACGCAGATGGTTACACATGAAGTATTTATAGTTATGTGTACACACTCAGGGAAGTATTCACGCATGCATTTCCTTGCTGAGAAGGCCCAGAAAATCTTCAGTAGCCACGGGCCACCCCCCAACACTCAGATATGGGTTTCTTTTCTTTTTTTTTTTGTAATTTTTTTTGGAGGGGGTAATAGGTTTATTCATTTATTTATTTTTAGAGGAGGTACTGGGGATTGAACCCAGGACCTCATACATGCTTAGCATGCATTCTACTACTTGAGCTATACCCTCCCCCCTTTTGAAAAATTTTTTTCTTTCTTTTTTAAAATTTTTTTTAACATTTTTTATTGATTTATAATCATTTTACAATGT